TGAATTGTTTGTATGTCAAAAGTTTTCAAGTGAGTTCACCTGATGTTATGTGAATATTGACGCCTTTGGACATCTACAACATCCAATGGCTTGCTCATCCCGGCCCCGGTTACTTCACTCATCAGATGAAACGCGAAAGTTTAAAATTTCCACTTGACGTCGGTCTTCTGTAAAGGCGTGGCACTTCTCCTCATGTTCGCCCATTCATACAACAACAGAAACTTTTGCGTGGCCCTACCACAGTGTTTCATGGAGGGGGTCGAATAGTCCATCTTTCATTAAATAGAGGTTGCGGGGGTGGTCTCTTCCGTATTCTGTTCTACACTACAACCATATAGATTTTTTTTTCTATTATGTTTATACTAGGAGTGTAGGAGTGAGTTATAGTAGGTTAAATCTAGTACCTGTTACACCTGTTCCTGTTCCTTAAAAGTAAGTGACAAGAACCGGTGGGCTAGCTAGAACCCTCGGGTTTGGGCCCTCCGCTGTGGTAGGGCCACACATGTGCTCATGCGTGCGTTTAACTATGGTGTGTCATCTAAGGGCCATCGAGGTCGCGGTTCGGACCGAAACCCCGATGGCCGTCGACTGTGCAATTAGCTAATCGGTGGCTGGAAGCGGTGAGAACCACCCCGGAACGCGGGTGTACCTTGTGTTCGCGTTGTGTTGGTCTCGCCGTGCTTGGAGGCGAGGACGAACTAGTGTATTTGTTGTTGCACTAACTGCGGGTGTAGTGTTATCCGGCGGGACCCCGGCGGTGGGTCGATGAGGAAATTTCGCGGGCGACGCTTGTTGACGTTCGCGTTTGTGTCGGGTTGGTAATTTGTTGCGCTTACCTCCAGAGGGTTGGGATGATGTTCGGCTCTATCGAAGAACCGTTTGGTCAGGTCTTTAACATATTCGCGAATCGTCGGGAGTCTGCAATCGCTGTGCAGATCGTCTTTGCGATGATACCACAGCGCACCGGTAACGCTGCGGATGAACTTATTTTGTACTTTTTGCAACTGGTACAAGCGAGTAGGGTGCGTGAGGGCAAAGGTCATGCATGCGTAGGACATAATAGGTCGTACGCAGGTCTTATATAATAATAATTTGTTCCTTAAGGGCATTTTACTTTTAGCGTTAGTTAAATAGTGTAGCCGGCCGGAGACGAACGCGGCTCTATTGCGAACGTTGTAAATGTGCGTAGTAAATGACATACGCGAGTCGGAAGTGATAAAGTGATATTTGCCCCAACTTTCTGCATTGGCGAGGGCTATTAGATGTGATTAGCTATAAAGATGTGTCGGGTAAGTACTTCGTGTGAAGTGAATCGCCATACTCTTTTCGGGATTTATTTCTATTCTCCATTTGCGGACCCAATCGCCGAGGCGGTCGGCGGCGCTTTGGAGTCGAGTGGTTAGTTGACTAAGGTTGCGGCCTGAATAAAACAGCGCCGTGTCATCCACGAAAAGCGCGAGATTGACATGGGGGTCATTAGGTATATCGCTCGTGTAGAGCGTAAAGAGTAAAGGTGAGAGGCAGGAGCCTTGTGGTACGCCGGCCGTGAGGCGGCGCCTTGTGGAGAGGGTGCCTTCAACTCGATATCGAAAAGAGCGGCTCGACAGGAAGGCCCGGATGGTGTGTACGATCCTATCTGGCACTTTGAGTGTGTACAGCTTGTAAAGCAAGCCGTTGTGCCAGACCTTGTCGAATACTTTTACGTCATCGAAGAAAAGAGCCCCTGTACTAATATGTTTAGGGTGATTTAGGCCTTTTAGTATATGTTTCGGATGATTTAAGCCTTTCAGGATGTGTTCCGTTAAGCGATATAATTGGTCGGGACAGGAATGTCTAGCTCGAAAGCCGAATTGTTCCGCCGGCAGAAGGCTGTTGGAAAACACGTGCTCTTTGAGCCTGTTTAATAGAAGCCGCTCGAAGAGCTTCCCCAAGCAACTGATGAGGCTAACGGTACGATAACTAGAGGGCTGGTTGGCTAGTTTATTCGGCTTGCGAATGCCGATAACCGTTTCTTCTTTCCAGTTGTACAGAAAGGAGCAACTGGAGAGTAAAGTATTGAAAATGGTCGCCAGGAAACAAATAAGCGGCCCAGGGAGAGCTTTAAGAATTTTGTTACTAAGATTATCTGGGCCCAGGGCGGATTTTGGTTTTTGATAACGTCTTGGACTTCTTCGGGGGTCACTCAACTCAAAGGATTGCCATTCGGTGGAAGCGCGGCCCTAATCTCGATTACGTGGTCCACCTTCGTTAGGTGGGCTGTATCGGTGTTTTCGCGCGATTGCGTACATTGCTGCTCTAGGTTGTCCGCAAGGCATTCGGCTTTTTCGGGGTCGTCTAGGGCTACTGAAGCGCTATTAGGTCTTACTAACGGCGGTAGAGATTCGCGGTGTTCTGCTTTCAGACTGCGGGCCAACCGCCATTAGGCGGTGTGCGATGGCTAGCTGAAGGCGTCGACGTAGGGTTCGGTGCGATTCCGATTGGTATCGCTCGAAAGCGCGTTTGGCTGCATTTTTCTGTCTAATTAGCAGTCGCAGGTCGGGCGGAAAGTGGAACCGTCGGTCACCCGACAGTTTCACCGTCCGTTCCGAGTCTGCGACAGCGGAAGTGATGGTTTCTCGGAGACTTGCTATTGCTTGAGACTTGCTATCGTAATCGAACGTAGTTATCGTCTCGGGCAGGTTGAATAAGTCCTGGGGATCTAAGGCCTTGAGTTTGACCTCAAGACGATGCCAGTCCCCTACGGATTTGGTTGGAGGGACCGCGCCGGCGTTCTAGCCCAGTTTACACAGGACGGGCCTGTAATCTGAATCTAATTCATGGATTGTCTCTATCGACTCGATGTCGAGCGAGACCTCCTTGAATAACATGATATCTAGGATACTCAGTGTCGCCTGTTGGTAGTTGTCCACCGAAAGAGCGCTTATGCTAAACTTTAAACTATCGGATAAGCTAAAGAAATGCTTATATGGGATGCTGTGGATGTCCCGTGAGCTGTGTTTGCAATTTAGATCTCCTGAAATTATCAAGGAAGAGCCTAAGTTGAGTAGCGTATCTAGGTCGCTTTGTAAGAAGGTTTTGTTCCCCGAGAGGTAGGCTGAGACTAGTACAAGCGCCCTATGGCCGGTGAGCGCTAACCTACACGCGGATGCCTCTATATGGCTTAGCTCTGGAATGTCGAGCGGGCTACAGTGCAAGGACCATTTTATGTTCGCTAATGGCTTTGAACCGCTCGGTGCCAGATGTGGCGGCCGCTATTTTAGCGGACAATACGACGAGCTCTTTTCTATTAATGCAGACTAATAAGTTGCAGATGTTCGCGATTTGGGCGAATGGGTCGTTTTTGTTTTCGGTGAATACCGATGGTGATTGTTAGCCTATTTATGTGTCCATATTTTATATTGATTAGAGAAGTAGTTTTATTCTGTCTAGTATTATAATATTCTTATTTTATAATATTATTAAATATAAACTTATATTCGTTAAAACTTTTGTAAAATAGCAACAAGATATCTTGAAAATATAGCAACATTAAAATGTAAATTAGGATTCGTTATTTATTTTATTTTCAATAAATACTTGATTAAAGTTGTTATTAATTGTTACAAACATTGTAAGAAATGTTAAAATAATTTATTATGTATTATAAAAACAATATTCATGACACAATTAGAATTAAGACATGTGAGTGACGCGTTCCGGGTACGGCCTAACGGCAGGACAAGGAACGGGGCAGCACTGTTAATACGACGATCGTCGGGAGTCAATTTTTATTATGATATTTCACTTAATAAAAGGATCTGTTATTAAGTGAAATATCATAATAAAAATTGTAGAAGGAATTTAAGAAGTACTTAATTTTATTCCTAAACCTATACCATCTGAGGTTATCCTACATGATGCACTGCACATGCGGCCTCGGCGCCTGTTGAATGGCGGGCTGCGATTGGGCTTACGTTGGTCGTGAGGCGACCCGGGGTCGCGACTACCTGCGCGGCCACCTGGGGTTTCGCCCAGGCGTTAACGACGAGTGCGGGTGCGGAAATGAACTTCGCGGGCACAGATTTGGGCAGCATTTTCCCTGGGAGCTTTTCTCGCGGGAGTTTTTGGGGCCTTAGCGCAGCCTCTGTAGCTGGCCAGTGGAATGGCAATTTACGCAGTCCGGTGGATCTGCGCAATCTTTCGGCCGCGTGCACTCGGGCGTGCCGTGGTCACCGGTAGATTTGACGCACCTAGGGTAAGCGACTCGGCCAACTCGGAGAGCACGAGTCGATTCGAGGCTAATTAGATAGGAAGTAATAATGATGTTGAATCGTGATGTTGTTTTTATAGCAAAGAATTCCCACGCCACACTTCTGTTATTTGACGTCGTTACAAACAAAACAAAACAGATCACTAACAAATCAAAAATGTCAGTTCGCACGCGTTTCGCCAACGGCCAACTAATAAAATCAAATAACAAAATGTCAATCAAAAAGCCAAATAAACTTTTAAAGCGGTTTTTCATTTGCGCAATTCCGTTTCCAATCCTGGCCGAACGAGCCCGACTCAACCCAAATTCTATTCGAGTCGATGCGAGTAAGATGCAACCAGTATATATGTCTTATTTAGGGATGCAACACCTTACGAACGGCGCGCACGCGTGTAACGTAACTTTGCATTTCACTCAACTCGAGTTGATGCGAGTTGCAACGCCTAACGAACCGCGCGAGCCGCACGAGCCGCGTGTGTAACTCGGAACAACTCGTGAAGCCCCCGCCCGCGTCTATCGTCCGGTTTGCGTTCGGACGACCGAGTTGATTCGAGTTGCTTAAAACTGAACTCGAGTTGACTCGTCTAAGGTTTGACTCGAGTTACTCGAATCAAATAACTCGAGTCGCACATCGCTACTTAACTTATTGTTAGTGGAAGTGTTTAGAAATTTATACTTGATTGTTTTATTTTTTTTTCCGCTTACGCTTAGATTCACAACCAAAGAGAATATAACCATTACGTTTAGAACAATGTTAGGCTATTCAAACGCTGGTATTCCTGACAAATCATGGCAGCCACCAGTAGCTGTTTTAGAAACTTCGTAAGTTGATTAAACAAATGTTGATTTTCTTTAATAATGGATGACATTAAAATGAATTTTTTTCTTGTTTTAGAATGGGAACAATGATAATAGAAATGTATTGGAAACATTCTCCAATAACATGTAGAAATTTTATGGAATTAGTCCGAAGAGGCTATTATAACAATACAAAATTTCACAGAGTCATCAGAGATTTTATGATACAAGGTGGTGACCCCACAGCAACTGGAAAAGGAGGACAATCTATTTATGGATCAACATTTGATGATGAAATAACACTAGATCTAAAACATACAGGTGCAGGAATTTTGTCCATGGCAAATTCTGGCCCAAATACAAATGGCTCCCAGTTTTTTATAACATTAGCACCTACTCAATGGCTAGATGGAAAACATACAATTTTTGGAAGAGTGCAAAGTGGTATGCCTGTTGTTAAGAGAATAGGCTTAGTTGAATGTGATAAGAATGATTGTCCTGTTGATGATGTTAAAATTGAAAGAGCATATATACCAAAATAAACTTTCTTAATGCAACTAAAGTTATTATTAGAAATTGAATAGTGTAACTTTCAAAATAATTTTACTAACTAACAGTTGATTGAGGTTAAATAAAAACCATTGTTGTCTTAATTTGAAAAAATATATTGTAGTGGTTGGAGGTTATCTAAATCAGAATCAAAAAAATATTAATTTTAAACTTCCACAATACTAAAGAATTTTAAGAAAATACTAAATCAATGCCAAGACAAATTAATTTCACCTTGAACCTTCCTTAGATACTATAAATAAAATTAATGCAACCTATTTTAATACAATGTATGTGGGGCAAACTGAATGTTCTTAGAGGAAACATACAATATAGAAATTTACCAATACTTTTTCTCTATACATCTTCAAATTCCAGGAAACCACTGAGAAAAGCTGTGGACCCATTCTCATATTCCGTTCTCCCATTTCTCTAGGGGTCGCTCCTGTGACATTTTTGAACAACCCCACTACATTTTCAGAGCTTGTTAAGCAAATACCTGGAAAATTATCTTTTCTTCTTGGGAAAAAAATGAAACTTGCTCAGTAGGTCTATATGGTGGAAGACTGATTTGACCTGCCATAGTCAATTATTCAATTGTTCATTTCATGGAGGGAGCTTAAATGTTGTGGTGGTGAAGGAGGATGCTGATATCAAATGTTTTCCAAGACAGAAAGTAAACAACAAGTAACATACAAGTCTGCGGTTGAAGGAGATTGCGCAGATTATCACTGAGATTATTACGATCATGCTTAAATTTATTAAACCAATATAAACATTTGCATGGGATGAAACTTCTTTATTAAATGGCAATTGACGTCTATCATAGCTTATTGTTGAGAAAGACGACAATGAAAGACTTAATATCTCATGGACCAAAAATTTTCTTGTGTTAAATTTATTTATTAAATGATTATATATATAAATACAATACTTAACAACACAGTGTGACCCTATCCTTATTGCAAGTAAGCAGGTATCTCTTTTTTATGTTTAAAAAATTACATGTTTTCTTTGATCCATGCCATTTAAAATTTAAATAGAGAATAAGATCCAATTCCTTAAAAACTTATTACTGTGACTTTGAATGAACAAAATAGAAGTTGTTTGAAAGTCAATGTGCAATGTAATTGATAACTATATAAAAACTGTTGTTAATGAAATCAATAATATTTTAATGTCAAGGCACATTGGTATCAAAAGAAGAGGAAAACATTGTCATTATATATGGGGACGATCAATCAAAATATGTGGTCAAAATTTTGATGTAATAAACATTTTTGATTTTTCAAAAATTGCCTTTCTTTTTAATGGAGTGCAGTATTTGAAACCAATGTAAAATTTATTGTGGTGACTGTACTGGTTTCTGTTATTGTTATGTGCAGGGTTTAATTTAATTTTCAGTTATTTTGTAGTCTATATGTTTTTTTTTTGGGAAGATTTAATTTTTTTGTGTATTAAAAATTATTTTATAACATTTATTGAAAATTATATAAATCTTCAATTTAAAATGTTTAAGAATTAAGAAATATTTTGTTTGTAGATTTTAGTATATTATTAGCATCATATTGGCCATGAAATAGATGGAAATGATAAAAACCTTGTTGAAATGTTGCAAAAAATGTGCAGTAGCTATGATTAGTTGGTTGAAAAGAACTTGACAAAATTGTTGAAACTTAGTTGTCTTATGATCTGGTGGAGCAATGGAATCAAAAAAATTGCATTTTTTGTGTGGTAGAAACCAAAGGTATAATATTTGTAAAATAACTGAAAGATCCCCATGTTTCTTCCGTTCAACAGCAAATTCCTTTCAAAAAAGAAACTTACGACATAAAGACAGACTAATGCAACCCACTTCTACACTACAATTATACTCAACGAGTCCCTATGTAATGACCATCAAGATATATAACAAACTACCGCAAATATTAAAAGACGAAAAAATCGATAGAACCTTCCTAAAAAATTAAAAGACTTACAAGTCATACTATGACATAAAAGAATATTTTGGAGATACCTTGGATATTATAGATATAAATAACACATAATGATCTCACATCATAAATATATTAAACAAATTACTCATAATTAATATATAAATTAAAACTAATAAATTTTTCTTATAAAAATAAATAGCTACTCAAAATACCAACTACTTATACAAGTACCTCATTAAATGACCTATGTGATACATCTTGCTCTCTCTGAATTTGTTATGATTTGTTTTGTACTATGCCCTATAAACAGGGTCCATAAAGAACTATTTTACTAATTACCCTAACACTTTTTGTTACTTAATGGATGTGCAATAAATAAATAAAGAGACTGCACTAGATTGCCCTATTGCGGGGAGCAAATGTTTATAATATCTATATACTTCCATAGCATCATTTGTAAAATCAAACTCAAATGGCTTACTTAGCAGTCTATTAAGTCATAAAACGGAATGAATGTCTGCAAAATCAATTTGTTATTAACAATATAACAGAACTATTAACTCTTAAAAATATATAATCTTCAAATTGGCATCAGTGAACTACATTAATAAGTACTTTGCAGATTTAGGAGGAACACATCCACAAAAAACTCTATTAAATTTAGGTAGAAAGAGACTGATCTAGTTGCAAAGGTGCTGATGAGTAGCAATCCAGTCTGGCTCTGGCGAAACTAGGAACAAAAAATGTTTCTATGGACTGTACACGGCAAATAATGGCGGACATTGCTATCACTCTCCCTCAATGCGGTTTCTCTTTCTTACGGGGGGGGGGGTGGGGGTTGGGGTTGGGGGTGGTGTGGGGGCATTACAAGAAGTTGTGTTGTTTGTCAAAACTTAATTTTGCACCGCGTATTTTGAATGTAAATGCTTATTTCATTGTAAATTTAAATTATTTAGAGTAAACTTTCTCACGAAAACTAGTGACAGGTGATCAGAGTTGTACTTTTAATATCACATATCGATAACTACGTTAATGTTTATCATTGAAAAAAAAAAATGAAATAAAATGTTGCGTGAAAAAGTAGGGGCACAAAGTTTTACATATTTGAATGGTGTGCCTACATAAATGAGCAAGGATCGGAATAGGTGGATTTTGCAGGATTTTGAAACATAATCTCTGTAATATTGATACGTCATATAATTAATGTTGTGCGCTGAGTATGCAAGAAAACTAAAATAATTTTTAGATTTTGATTCTATTTTTATGTTTCAATTATTTCAAGACTCGTATACAGCAGGACAACAGCTGTTGGCCGAAGAATCAAGAGACAAGAAATAAATTTCATTTCAGTAATAAAATTGTATTTGAATTATCAGAACCAGTTTTTTATCTTATTTCGGGTCCGCATTTAAGTCCAATCTTGTATTAGTACCAAATATCCCCTCATCAACATTGGACATAAATACGGACTCGATACTTACCTAAAATTAATAAAAAAATATTAAGTGGAAACCTCGCTTTCTACCTAGTACATTTTATCGATATCGATAAGAATTTAAGCTAGCTTGGTTAAGCACTATTTGTCTCGTTACGTTGGTACTCCTGTTGTTTGACATCTTTATGGTATGGTTGGTATTGGAGTGCCGCGTAAACTGATATTTTTGACTAGTATGGAAGTCCCGTCTCTTAAACGTAGTGATTATATTCATTACATTCTCTTTGTAACAATGCCCCTCGTGATTCACTATTGTTGCTACCCACTGATAATTACGAGATAAAGAAAATAATAAGATCTCTGAGGAACACTTTATCTACAGGTTGGGATGGTATATCATCAAATTTGGCTAGTCCCATTTCACACATTTGTAACATATGTTTTTCGTCTGGAATATTTCCGTCATTATTAAAATTATCCATGATAACGCCTGTTTTTAATACAGGATGTCGAGATAATGTTACCAACTATAGGCCGATCGCACTTCTGCCGACTCATGCAAAAATAATTGAGAAAGCAATTAATGTGAGACTAACTAAATTCTTGGAAATAAATAAATTCTTTTCATCTGGTCAATACGGCATTAGAAAAAAATTGTCAACGGTTGATGCTATCGAAGAACTAACTTGCCATATTGCTAAAAAACTGGACATGAAAAATAAATGCGTGGCAATATTCCTAGACCTAGCAAAAGCTTTTGACACTGTATCTGTACCTATCCTAATTCGCAAATTGGAATGTGCAGGTGTCCGTGGAACCCCACTCAAACTATTCCAATCTTACCTTACTGACAGAGCCCAATGTAAATGTAAATGGCACAAAAAGTTAACAGATTTTTATCAATTTTGGTATTCCACAAGGTTCGGTTCTTGGTCAAGCTTTATTTTTGGTTTATTTAAATGATTTGAATAAAATCAATATGAATAATACAAAAATTTTATCTTTTGCTGATGATACTGTGCTTGCTTTTGATGCGCCTACTTGGGACGAAGTACGGAGACTAAGTGCAGACGGATTAAAAAAGGGTTTCAACCTGGCTTAACAAACATGTTTTAATACTCAATTTTTCGAAAACAAAATATATGACAGTATATACAACAATACTCAACCATTATATTTCAACATAAAACATATTGTGACAAATTTTCTACAAATAATATTTGTGACAAATTTTCTTTGTGCAAATGTCATGTACTGGAATCCGTTACATCTATTAAGTATTTAGGCGTTGCTCTTGACCAAAACCTTGACTGGAAGTGCCATAAAGATTTACTCTGTAGTCGAATTAGAAAGCATCTGCATATTTAAGAAACTAAGACATATTAAAGACACTAGTTTAATTAATATAGTTTATTATACTTTGTGTCAGTCCTTATTAACATATAGTATTATAGCTTGGAGCGGTGCTAAAAAAACGTATCTCATTAAATTAGAGCGAGCGCAAAGAGCTATTAACAAAGTTGCGAATTTCGAGGAATTGCGTCATCCTACAGATATTTTATATAGAGAATTTTCAGTACTCACAGTTCGACAATTATTTTTAAGATCATTAATACTAAGACAACATCGTATTATAACGCCAAAAATATCTGACCAACGACGGTCACCGACTGTTTATATTCCATTGTGTAGAACTATGTTCATTCGCAGTTTTATCTTTATTTTAGGTCCCCGGATATACAATCGAGTCATTAGTGCAAATCTTTTCTTTACTAGATTAAACTAAGCTAAGTTATCTTAAATGTTATAAGCATTATGCACACATGTCGCGACAAACAATGTTTCTTATCAAAATAAATTATTTATTATTTATTTATTAATATCATTCAAGATTTGTAAGTTTTGAAATACAAAGGTCAAAGGTCAACTTTTAGTTTCCATAATACAGTAGAACATGATAGAAAAAAGGAAGGGAGGGATGTAATTGCTTAAGAAGTGCCATTATCAGTTCTGAAATTTGGTTTACAGATCAACATTTATTTTAAGGACTGACTTAAATCTTTGTACAAGCAGTGCAGTAGTTTAGTGCTAGTGTACAACAACAATTGTAGTTACAACCTGCCTATGAGCACAACACGTGCTCATAGGCAGGTTTTAAGTAGACACGACTGTAC